CACATTGGAGTCCGACCATGGTAAAACCATCTCACTTGTTTTAAACAGTGAGGGGGGTGTTGAAGGATAGGCACTATCTTTCAAGAGTATGAATCCTAGGAGGACTCTACATGAAGGAGTAAGAGTCCTACTTGGATTGTGCCACACGGAACCTATAAAAGCTCACCAACATCACCTATGGAGAGGTTATACAACTTTGATTCCTGAATACACAGAGCTTTTTGTCTATTTGTCTGTTTGCTGACTTAGGCATCGGAGAGGTATCCGGCACACACCCGCTAGCTAGCTCACGTTTGTGTTTTCAGGAAATAAAGCGACGACGTTCGGAAGAGTGCAGACTTGATCAACAGGATTATACGAGAAGGTTTATTTCTTTCCCGTACAGGACATGAATTGTGACTTTCTTGATCACCAAACATTATTTGTTATAAATTGAGTTGTAAGAACAAGAGCCCCGATACATTAGACGGAAAGCTTGCAAGCTAGGTTGAGGGTTCTATGTTGGTGCATAGTTGGGCAACAATATGTTATGTCGCAGACAACATTGACATGGGACACCTTGACTGACATGGAACCTCAATTGGGCGAGCGCTTTACTCAAAGACGAGTTTGGTGCCATAAGGGATGCACTTGCGGACATTTAGTCTATTTGTGGCATGAAAGTTGAAGCTTCTTTATGAGAGTTGTTCTTGTTAGACATAACATTGGACTTATATTTGACAAGACGAGTTAAAATTCAACATTTGATGATCCAGGAGAGATTAGATGGATTTGAACTTGATGGAATTTAAGCGCCTCATAAGCAAAAATAAATTTCGCTGCGTACTTGAAAGAGTCAACCTCTGACACTAAGTAATTGTTTTGAGTAGTAAAATTGAAAAAAAAAATGTTTTGTTTTTGTTTTATTGTTATATTTTTCCTTTCTATTTTTTAGTTCATTCCACATGCTTTCCGGAATCAACTGATCACTTGAAATTGTTGGATTTTGTATTATCCATGGGATTATTATTGCAGTTGCCTAGATCTTGGATTAATGTACCAAAACTAATCTTGGATTATTAGAGGTGGTTGTTGTATTGCTGATGCTTCTATTTTCTTGTTTTGCTGTTGGTTTCTCACCGACTCTAGGTGATTGTGCTAGCATATGATTGGGCGATTTTCGTAGTGCCAACCTAATTGGAATTGCATTGTATTGCTTTGATACTTTTTATACTCTCCTTTCCTCTATTGATGTAATCTCATATCTCTTTTTGCTAATAAAAAAAAAAATGTACCAATACTAATCAGATCCTACGTGAAGAGGATAAACAAACTCATGTCATAATAACTTTATTGTTCAACCTTATCTACCTAATATATTCTCCACATTCTTTCAAGTTGGCAATTAAAGTAAGGTTTAGATAGTTTAGTTACAACAATTCTGCAAAAGAAGAAGTGAACAAAGGTAACTTCTGTTATGACCGATGGGTAGATTCGCCCCCCCCCCTCTTCTATAATAAAAAAATAAAAAATAATAATAATAAAAATAAAATGAAATAAAAAATTTAAAATAAATTTATGATTTTCGATTTGATTCAATTAAAAAAAAGTCATTTCCAAATACAATAATCTTTTTTATCTCAAAAAAAAAAAAAAAAAAAAAAAAAAAAAAAGACTGAAAAAAGCCATTCCCAAACAAAGGCCTTTGAAAGGGTATAACCCTCCTCAAATTTTGAAAAATATTTATTTATATGTAAGAGGATTCCTTTAATTTGCCCCTTCATAAAAATTTATTTATGCTTCTTAATCTTTTATAGACCTCTTCTATTTATTTATTTTTTTTCAACTAAACCCCTGCCATAAATTTCATAATGGTTTATTTTACTTTTAACCTCTAAACTATTGTCAAATTATTTATTTAGCCTCTAAGCTATCAATTAAATCTACTAAGTTCCTAAAGTAGTATATCAAAGTTTACTTAGTCCTTAAACTATCAATTGAATATATTAACCAAAAGTATTTAATTCAAACATATTTAGGCTTGGTTTGAGGTGTTTAAAAAAATCTAAAAAGTCAAAAAGGTATAAAAAAAAGTAAAAAAGTTATCACTATTCACAAATTAAAAATATAAAAAATTAATATACATAATTTTTTAATACAAACCAACTTTACACCACTCAAGGTACTGACGTGAAAGGAACAAAAAAAAAAATACATACATATATATATATATTCACTAAGTTGGATAGTAATGTTGGGCCCGTGGGGGCCCACTACGGGTCCCGCTTTGATAATTCGAACCGTTCAATATGTAGAAATTGTCCAGTACTATATGCCTGTAAAAAATCACGTTGATCAGATATCGCTAACTATATGATCAAATCAGTTTTGTATAAAAAATGAATGGTGTTATAGTTAACAGTTGACAAAAAAAACTATCATGATCAGATAGCTATCGATATCCAATTAACGTGATTTTTTACAAACATATAGTACTCGATGAGTTCTACACATTAAACGGTTTCGATTAGCAAAATGGAACTCGTGGTGGGCCCCACGGGCAGAACAACACCGTTCAATTCAAACCCAAAAAGGAGGCATTCATTTCCCATCTCCTAACCAGTCTATTACACTGCCCAAATTGTACGGGCTACTTCACTAACTTCTTCTATACACTTATTTATACAATTTTTTAAAATACATTTTTTCGTAAAAAGTCAAAAAGTTAACTCAAACATTCATATTTTTTTTTCAACTTTTTAGTCCAAAAAGACAAAAAGTGCACTTATTTAAAATAGCCCAAACAACCCCTTGTTTGAGAACTTGACTATTAGTGACTTTTTAACTTTTTGGTTATTTCATGAGATGAAAAAAGTTGTGTGTTTGGGATGATTTGTGATGTTTTTTTTGTAATCAAAAATATAATTGTGAGAGAAAAAGTGATTAATTTATGTGTAGACTTGACATTTTGTCTTATTGACTATTTTAACCAAAACCAAACATCCCAAAAAAAGCCTACGTTCCTGAAATGATTACAAAAATAAAATGTAAGTCTATATATGTTGTAAATTAGCTAAAGACCTTACCTAATTAAAATTTTATTATAGAAAACGCTTAAATTTGTATTGTGTCTTTAAAAAGTGAGCGTCAGTTTTTTTGGTAAATTTTCCTCATGAGAGTAAGGGTAATTATTTAAACTAGTTTCTTACTTATTTTTTACAATAGCTAGTTGTTTGCATTTATCTATTATTATATGCAAAATTTCGTTTATAATTTTTAATTAATTGTCTTGAAGTTTTTTGTTAAGTTCTATTAATAACTTAATTAATGTATTATTTTATTCTATTATTATTTGTAACGAAATGCTATTATTTAATTTATTTGATTCTATTTTTTCAGTATATCTAATACTTATATAATTGTATTGACAAAGTTCAGAAACTAAACTGTGTTACCAATTTAAATATACATCGAAACAAAACATTTTTTACATACAAAATAGAAATTGAAGATTTTTCTGTAATAAAATATTAACTAGATAGAGTGTTTAACTAATTTATAATATAATACTTTCGGGCCTATATTTTATTTTTGTAATCTTTTCAGGGATTATTTTAATTGGCTTTTTGATTTTGGGGGTTTAATTGACTCAATTGATAGTTTAGATACTAAATAAATAATTTGACAATAGTTGAAGGTAGAAAGTAAAATTAACCCATCTTACAAAATGATTTATCTAATTATTGAATTTGTGATTCGGGGTTGTGTGATTATGTGAACCAAAAAAATTAACTTATTGGTTTATTAACTTATTTGAATTATATCACCTTTCTATTTTTTTGCACATCTTTTCGTAATAACCACAAAATTTAACTTAAAAGCCATACCCAAAACAAGCCTTTATATTATTCAATAGTTCGGGAGTACGGCCACGTAGTGCTCTATGATAGTATGATTAGTTGTGTTGGTGATTGAGGAACACAAGGGAACATAATGAATGGTGATCGGTGAGGGAGTATGGTCACGTGGTACTTTGGCACTATTGTATAATTTTTCTATTGGGATGAATTGACCTTTTGACTTTTGACGAAATGATGTGCACAAAAATAAAAAAAGTTATGTGATAACTTATAATGACTTTTTAATTTTTTGGCGATTTTAACCTATTGACAAACGAAACTTGATATTATATATCATACAAAGCTTTCAAAAGATAAAAATTTGTTGGGATAATTGATATTAGTTTATTATTATTGATTACAAATTTTGTCTCCAATTTATGCTTAAGAGACAAGCTTGCCTCCGGTTCATGTTTTGGATGGGAGGGTCAAGTTCACACTATTATGGGCCTATCAGGGGCCTTCTTAGTGATCCAAATTGTTTAAATAGTAGAATCTATCAAAAAGATTATTTATGAAAAAATTAAAATTGATCCGATTTCACTAGTCACATAGTCAATTTATATTTGTATAATAAAAAGTATATTTTTAAAATTATTCTTGTCGTTCATATATATATATATATATATTTTATAAAACATGTGATCTTATCAGGTACTTGTTGAAGTCCAATCAGTAATTGTATGAATAATGTACTTGACAGATCTTATAATTTAAACAATTGAATTATCGAGACGAATAATTGTCCCCCTTTTTTCAAGCTGTGGTAGTTAAATACGTTTCAAATTTCATGGTTGTTTAATCAAATTTGATTTGTAATGACACATCTTTTAAATTCATTTAGTTTTTTTTTAAAAAACAAATGGTCCTAGTGCATGATGATGACTACACACTTAAATAATTGAATACTATTCTTGCCATAAAATGCTATGTGGAAGCAACAAAAACTGAATTGGTGATTACATTCTTCTTCGAAACATCCCAAGTATATAAAACAAATTGAAATGACTCAATTCCTCTTGAAAAAGTATAGAAAAATAGAACATGGAAGGTCTTGTGATGGGAATGCTTTAACAACTCTTAGCACACTATTATATATATAATGGTTCCAGCTCACCAAATTGACTAGCAACTAAACATATATCAATAACAACTCTCTCTTTTTACCTCTACAAATACCACTCTCTCTGTGGATTGCATAGTTTAGTGCATACAATGGCAAAAAGAATTTTTGCTTTGGCTTTATCACTTTTTTTGCTTTCATTTTCCACACTTGCGAATGCACTTAGCCTAAACTATTATGACAAAACATGTCCGATGGTAGAGACAACCATTACGAGTGTGGTGAAGAAAGCGATGATGAACGATCAAACAGTTCCGGCAGCCTTACTTCGCATGTTCTTCCATGATTGCTTTATTAGAGTAATAATCATTCATTAGCCTTATTGTCTTCCTCTTCCACACATTCACCTCCGTTTTGTTTTTGTTTTGTGTTTTTTTTTTTTAAACAAAAAACATTTTGTCAATAGATTTTTTTGTATTTTCTAGTGTTTATTGAAAAGCAACTTATTTGGGTGAAAAATATTTTCCACTTTTAAAATGTACAAAATATTTTTTGATTTGCTAACTTACTAATGCTAACACATTATTACCGCCACAACCCCCATCCCACTACTACTACTACTATTTCCCTACCTCCACCATTGTTGTTGCTGTTGCCACCACTACCCTTCAACCACTTCTAGTACCACTACGTCCTACATCCACCTCCATTGCTACCGTCTCTGTTGCCGCTGCCACCATGACCTCTACCTCCACCGTTGGCGTTGTTACCACAACAAACACTTCCACTAGTGTCATTATCGCCACCCCGGCATTGCCACCTCTACCCCCACCACTACTAATACAACTATTAGTATATTAATTTAAAAACCAAACATAAAAAAAGTGTTCTTCAAAAAAAAATTTTTGAAGAAGTTTTCCGTAGATGTTTTTAATTTGAAAATGTATTCCGCCAAAACAAATCGAAATAAAGCACTCAAATTTTAATATTAGAATTAAATATAAGAAAAAGTCATTTAAAGAAAATATTTTTGGAACTTTTATTGTAAAAAAATGTTTTTTTTTTCTTGGTTTTAAAATGTTTTTTGGCCAAACAAACGGAGCGCCAAAATCTGAAGAGTACAAGGGACTACTTTTATCATTTATGTTTTGTTTGTGTCACATATTTCATTTATCTTTGTCTTGAAGGGTTGTGATGGTTCTGTGCTGCTGAATTCAACTAGCAACAATCAAGCTGAAAAGGATGGACCTGCCAATATTTCCTTGCATGCATTTTACGTGATTGACAATGCAAAGAAAGAAGTTGAAGCTAAGTGTCCCGGCGTTGTTTCTTGTGCTGATATATTAGCTCTGGCTGCGAGGGATGCAGTTGCTTTGGTTAGTCAATAATGTTTTTTTAATACTTATTCTAAATTGAAATATGATGTCATCTACAACTTTCAGGGATTATTTGTTGCATCCAAAATTTTGCACCGTGTTTGATGCAACTTTTGGTAAAATAACTCAAGATTAATTCTGCTTATTTGAGGTGAAATAAGTTAATTTTAAAAAGTTGGTTAAAGGATACTATTTTTTTGCGAGTGATTCTACTTTCACCACCAAATAAACTCCTTACACCCATTTTCCTTTTACACCACACCCAAAATTCCTCTCTCTCTTTACACTTCTCATAATGCCAAACTTACCCTCATCTCTTTCATCTCAACATTCCAAACACTAAGTCTTCCAACCGTCACTTCTAGTAGCTATTCCATCTCCGCCAGCCACTGTCACCACCTTCACAGCCTTTCAACCACTGCGATCACCACTGTCTCAACCACCATCTTCGCAACCCTCATCGTTGTAGCCACCACTTCCTCCGTTGCTCCTCTGTCGTGACCATTACCACCGCCTCAACCACCTGATTCTGCAACACTTTCAGATCTGCTTTTCTGCCATCGTGATCCACTGCTAGAGCGAGAGAGATAGAGAGAGATGAAATCTAGGATTAGGTTTTCAGATGAGAAAATAAGAGAGAGAATGAAGAGCATGGCAGTGATGGGAGGAGATGGAGGAAACGGAGAACCGCCGCAACCACCCGCTCCTGCAACACTTTTATATCTGCGTCCCAACTACAGCAATCCACCACCATCGCGATTGCCCCATTTCTGTGAGAGAGAGAGAGAGAGAGAGAGAGAGAGAGAGGAAAACCTAGGGTTGGGTTTTCAAATTTAAAAAAAGAAGAAAAAGAAGAAAAAGGAGAAAGAGGATGACGACGGCGGGGTGAGGCGGTGAAGAACTAGCCGGCGGTGAAGAACTGGCCGGCGGTGAAGGGGCGGTGACAGTGAAAGGCTGATAGAAGTGGTGGTGATGGGGTGTAATGAAAATTAGGGTTTTCAAAGTTTAAGGTGAAAGGATATTTTAGTAATTTTATACAAGGATTGAAATGTAATATAAAAAAAAATTAAAATTGAAGGTGTAAGGAGTTTATTTGGTGGTATAAGTAGAATTACTCATTTTTTTGCTTATGCAAGAAACCTTTTAATTATAAGTTCACTGAAATATCCCTCTGCTCATTAAATATCACTATCACACCCTTACATAAATAGTTCACCCCCTTATTTCTCTTTCACTCTCAAATCACTATAACTAAAAAGGGTAAAAAAGACAACAATTTTTTGCTACTTTTCAACTTGTTTAAGAAAACACTATTTTACTACTTAAATCTATAATATGTGAAGTTACATATTGTGTAGTATGTTTTAACAGTTGTACCAAGTGGGCTGTTACAAAATTTCAAAATAAAAGAGCTAATATATTGATTTTACATACTTATATATTGATTAATTTAGTTCAACATATAAGGGTTTTAGGTATTAAATTTTTTTCTCCAAAAGAAAAAAAATTTGTTGCGAAAAATATTAGGGAACAATTCTTGCTATCACAAGAATCATCGTTAAAAAGTTAACATGAAAAGTACAAAAAATTAACATGAAAAGTACAAAAAAGAAAAAGAAAAAAAAAGCACCTGTAGACAAAATTGTGAGAACGTCGCTAATAAATGTTATTTTAGAAACAACATAATTTGGTGTAAAAAAAAAATAGGCTCTGTTTGTTTGTGCTCTGAAAATAATTTTCAAAACTTGAGTTTGACCATGATGTTTGATAAGAGTTTTGGAATTAATTTTCCAAAACTCTGCCGGAAGCTCTGTCTATATGTCAAAGCATTCTGTTTGTTGCAGAGGGGGCGTTTGAGGGAACGGGACGTCCGGTAAAAATATTACCATATTTCGTTTAATGCATCAACCAAGAGACAAGAGGATCATCAAAACCTAAACACATTAGAAGGAAATGAAAGTAAAGTACTCCTTTTCATTTATAAATTTATTTTCATAGATTGAAATGGTTGGAAAGGAATCTAGAATCTTCGAAGAGAAGATTGATGATCTCACTAGTCTATGGGATAAGATAGTTTAATTGGCTTCATTTTGGGTTTCAGTCTCCTTTCGAGGGAATAACACTCTACTTTCTATTTCTAGAGATTCGAGAGTCGTATGTTGCACGTGATATTTTGTAGTAATTTTGTTGTGTTTTAGTGTTTTTGGTGGATGTCTTGTCCTCTGTTAGTTTTTTTTTTTTTTTTGGTGGATGTCGTGATATTTTAACAAAATTTTCTTTCTTGTTGATAAAAAAAGTTCCAAATTGATTTAAAATACCCACATCATTTATCAAGTAAGAGTTCAAAAATTTGAATTCCATGTCTTATCTGATTTATAATCATCATCAACACATGAGCTCATTTTTACAACAATAATGAAATGAGCATCCACGGATATAACGTCTAAAGAGTCGAGCTCCTTACCAAAACACGATCCACTATAAGCTGAATCACAAGTTGCTCTAATTCATCTCTCTGTATCTCTGGACCTGAGGAGTCAAAACAACAAAGGTCAATGCTGCTCTATTATGGATGTTCATGTATGAGTCTCAATAATTACTTGAAGAAGAAGTGACATAAAGTGTGTAGTGGTTTTTAAATACAACAAATGTTTACGAGAAAATAAATTGAGGACAATAATACTAAATGAGTTGCCTCAATTTTACCCTCCACTTGAAGGCCAATTATATAGTCCAAAATAGTAAAAAAACACACTTTTTGTGCCGTGTGGACAAAGTAATTATGTTTTTGACTCAGTTTTGCCAGAATTAGAATTGGAATTGCAAATATAGACTATTCCAATTAAACATATGCATCAAGGTAATAGAGCTCACCAGCATCCTTGTGCTTAACCTTCATCTTGTCCACCAATTGCAACATTGTTATTCTTGGATCATTCTCTTGCATATCTTGCAGCAAGGATAACATAACTTTTGCATGTCCTGCAAATTATGCCCACAATAAGCATACAAGCCATTTAGAATTGCTAATGCCCAATGCATGAAATTGGAAAGTATTTTGTGTATTTGGGCATTAAAAATGGAATTAAGAAGTTGGAATTACATAGAGCAGGAGTTGAATTTCAGGGACCTAATCAATTTGAGACCATTCTGTTTTGAGAGTTGATTCCTTTGTGTGTGTGTGTTTGATTTGTAATTCCTTCATGTTGTTTTACTCTAATTAATAATATTTCTCTTGTTACTAATCAAAAATCAAAAAATGGAAGGCACAGAGAAGCTTCATTTATTTTCTTCTTATTATAAATACAGAACTAATCATAGATTTTTTATTTTTTTATTTAGCATCTCCAACGGTAGTAGGCATTTTACCTATCTGAATATTACTATAAAGTATATATTTTATTTTGCCTATCGACTGTTTTATGTTTTTACTCCAACCATGCTCTTTATTTTAGCTATTTATCCAAATATTATTAATTTTATAGAATGCCACGTCAACAACAAAGATGGAGGGAAATGATCCTAGTGATTGAATACATTTTGCCTAGCATTGAAGGCTAGCTACATGTAGCTAGTGAATATGAGTTGAGGCAAAATCCCTAATCATATGCCTAGTGCATTGGAATTGAAAAAAGTGAATCACACTAGGCATTTTAACTAACAAGTATTATATGCCTAGTGCATTGGAGATGCTCTAAGGAGTTTATTTGGTGGTATAAGTAGAATTACTCATTTTTTTGCTTATGCAAGAAACCTTTTAATTATAAGTTTACTGAAATATCCCTTTGCTCATTAAATATTACTATCACACCCTTACATAAATAGTTCACCCCCTTATTTCTCTTTCACTCTCAAATCACTATAACTAAAAAGGGTAAAAAAGACAACAATTTTTTGCTACTTTTCAACTTGTTTAAGAAAACACTATTTTACTACTTAAATCTATAATATGTGAAGTTACATATTGTGTAGTATGTTTTAACAGTTGTACCAAGTGGGCTGTTACAAAATTTCAAAATAAAAGAGCTAATATATTGATTTTACATACTTATATATTGATTAATTTAGTTCAACATATAAGGGTTTTAGGTATTAAATTTTTTTCTCCAAAAGAAAAAAAATTTGTTGCGAAAAATATTAGGGAACAATTCTTGCTATCACAAGAATCATCGTTAAAAAGTTAACATGAAAAGTACAAAAAATTAACATGAAAAGTACAAAAAAGAAAAAGAAAAAAAAGCACCTGTAGACAAAATTGTGAGAACGTCGCTAATAAATGTTATTTTAGAAACAAAATAATTTGGTGTAAAAAAAAAAATAGGCTCTGTTTGTTTGTGCTCTGAAAATAATTTTCAACACTTGAGTTTGAGCATGATGTTCGGTAAGAGTTTTGGAATTAATTTTCCAAAACTCTGCCGGAAGCTCTGTCTATATGTCAAAGCATTCTGTTTGTTGCAGAGGGGGCGTTTGAGGGAACGGGACGTCCGGTCGGTCGTCCGGCCGGCTGTCCGAAACAGTGAATTTATTTTATTTTATTTTATTTTTTTTGCAATTGATTTATATAATCGGGAAAAATATTTTCTGAAAATTTTTAAATTTTTTATATGCTTTAAAATAATTTTGAGTTGTATGTTTAGTTATGAGTTGTAAATTTTTGTATCACATATCAAATGTCACATTAACAATTCCCCACTCAAATCAAACCTCTTTTCCAAAACTATTTTCAAACCTCTTTTCCAAAACTATTTTCAAAACTCTTTACCAAACAAATTTTCTACACTTAAATCATAATTCTACAACACACAAACTCAAAATATAACTCATACTTTCAAATCACATTTACAAAATACAACCAAACGCACGCATAGTTTTTTAGATGAAAATTTTAGTCCCAAAATGATAATAATTCATTACTAAATATCTAATTTCATCGTTAAAATATAACAATGATAGTTTTTGACAACTAAAACATTTCATTCCTAAAAAGTGATTTTATCCTTAAATTTTTATTTTTAAAATCTTAATTTGTTGTTGACCTAGTGGTCAAAGCCTAAGGCCTCAGAGTGTACTCTATTTATAATCTTAGGTTTGAAACCTCTTAAGTATAAGCAATTTCTCGGAGTTAGTCCATTCGGGACTTTGCCTTGACTTTAATTGGACTTCTACTAGTAGATGGTGGAATTGGTCCCCTCAATTAATCGACCCTTTGAGCCGGATATCGAGTATAAAAATAAAATAAAAAAAGGTTTGATTTTGGTGATCTTAGTGAAGTGTGGTTGTAATGGTTCCATTCCACTTATATTATAATTTGTAAGTGAAGTAGTTATATTATGTATTCATAATCTAATAACAATTATATATGTATATATGTTAGTCTGGAGGTCCAACTTGGAATGTGCAAAAGGGAAGAAAAGATGGAAGAATTTCAAAGGCAATTGATACCAGATTACTTCCAGCTCCAACCTTCAACATCTCACAACTACAGCAAAGCTTTGCCCAGAGAGGACTTTCCTTTGCTGATTTAGTGGCACTCTCAGGTTAATTCAACTTTTAAATCCAATTGTACTCTATGTTTATTTTAACAGAAAATATTTTTAGCATTTTTTAAGATTTGGTAGAACAAATAATAATATTTTTTTGTTGTCAATAGCATTTTTTAAGATTTGGTAGAACAAATAATAATATTTTTTTGTTGTCAATGGAAAAAATATATATTATTTGAATGAAAAATATCTATAATTTTTGAAAAGTGAAAAATATTTTTTAAATTCAAATTTTAGTAGCAATACCACAATAATGCAATCATCACAAATCACCTGTCACTGCCACAACTACTATTATCACCACCAACACTCTATCATCACCACCACCCCTCCACTTCCCTATCACCACCACCCCAAAACCACTGCTGCCATAATGCCACCACCATGACACTATTACCGTCGCCTGCACTACTAGCACCACCATTCCACCTCCACCATCTCCTACCATGACTGCCCCTCCCCCTACACTACTAGTGTTATAACTACTACCACATTATTTTTAAACTCATAACAAAAAGACAAAAAAATTATTTCTACAAAAAAAAAAAACATTATCTAACTTTTTTTTGTAAAAAATAAAATAATATTTTCTATCAAAACGAGCTTAAATTCCGTACTATTTTGGTGTTGCGAATTATCCTATCAACTACTTAAAATTTGTACTCCTTTGACGTATATGCAGGAGGCCACACTCTTGGATTCAGCCACTGCTCATCATTCCAAAACAGAATCCACAACTTTGACACCAAAAACGACGTTGACCCATCGCTGCAGCCCTCCTTTGCAGCCAACCTGAGGAGTGTTTGTCCCCTTCACAACACGAGGAAGAACGCCGGTGCCACCATGGACACAACTTCAACTATATTTGACAACGTCTACTTCAAGTTGCTTCTCCAGGGGAAGAGTCTCTTCACTTCAGACGAAGCTTTGCTCTCAGCTCACGAGACTAAAACTTTGGTTTCAAAGTTTGCTAATTCCCAAGAAGATTTTAATAGGGCTTTTGTCAATTCCATGCTCAAGATGGGTAGTCTCAATGGTGGCCAAGAGGTTAGGCTCAACTGTAGAGCGGTTAATTAGGTACTACTACTATTAGTCTATGTGCACAGAAATATGCACCAAATGTGTGTTGTCTAGCCAAATGTGTGTTGTCTAGATCTATTTCAGATTGGATGAGTTTAAGAATATAAAAACCAGATTTAAAATGGATAAGATTTTTTAAAAGTCATTTCCACCAAAAAAAAATTTATATAAAATCTTATCTATTAATAGATACTTTATGTTTTTGTTTGTATTTACGTCACACATTAAAAGAATGTGGGCTACATATTAATTTTTGTTTGCACATTTATGTGCAGGTAGCATTATTGTTAGCCAACTTGGTGGTGCCATGTGACCACCAAGTCCTTGCCCTCAATGGGGTATTTGTGTATCTTTTCAAGTCCATTTTTTTTATTTATTTTGATGATAAGAGTGAGAATTGTGTTTGTTTGGATGCGCACTTGTGTAGGTACCTTGTCTTAACATGTGTGCTTTTATCACTAACAATACTAGTAACCTATATTATCTTATTTTTTTGAAGGGTAAGCTGACTAATTTGATCTCTCTTATTTATACATGTTTGGAGAAATTATAAAAAAAAAAATTCAAAATTTGACATTTGTAACAAAATAAATCTTGAGTTTTTAATTAGGTAAATTACTAATACACCTTCTGATGTTTGATTAAAATATAAATTGCCTACTGTGATTTTGAAAATTACATCATGTCCCTTCAAGTTTCTTTTCGCACAACAATTGACCACTTTAATTAATAACAGTTTTTAATGATATCGAAAACATATTTTAATTAAAAAATCATATAATTTTATTATTGTATAGGAAAATAGTTAGGAATTTCATTTTTTCTGTTAATTCTGCTAAATAAAAATTCTAATAAGGTATATTTGTAATTTCTAGAACCATAAGAAGTAATCCGTGTTTTAAGTAAACCTCAAAGGGTGTATTTATAATTTAACCTTTTTAGTTTTATCAATTTAAATTATAATATTTTAATTTATTTTTAATCTAAACTATTCACTTATTTTTATTTAAGTAAAACTGACAAAAAAAAAAAAAAAAATAAATTCTAGTCATTAAAGACCAGAATAGGAGGTACATCTTGCTTTCTGGTTCCCTATACAACTCTTTTGAGTGTGTCTTGATCAATATATATGCACCAAATGATATATGTGCTAGATCATCTCTTTGGGCTGATATCCTCAAGCTTAAAGACCATTTCCTTGCTCCTTGGTGTATGGGTGGAGACTTTAATGAAATAAGGCGTATAGAAGAAAGGGTAGGCTGCTCCATGAGGGATATAGGGATGCATCATCTTAATGAGTTTATTGGAAAATGTGAGCTCAATGATTTACCTCTTTATGGAAGAAAATACACTTGGTGTAATGCTCAGGAATCTGAGAAATGGAGTCGTATAGATAGAATTCTGCTTGGACTTGAGTGGCTGATTAATTTTAGAATGAAACTATGGGGACTGCCTAGATTAATTTCAGACCACTGTCCACTATTGATGATGGAAGATGAAAGAGATTGGGGACCCAGACCTTTCAGGTTTCTAAATGCCTGGACTCTTCATCCAAGCTTTTCTAAATTCTTTGTTGATATCTGGAGCAGCACTTTGGTCACTAGATGAGCTGGCTACATACTTGTTCAAAAATTAAAGCATCTGAAACTAGCACTGAAGAAATGGAATGTTGAGGTATTTGGTAATGTCTCATCTAAACTTAAAGTTTCAAAAGAGGAACTTCATGCACTTGATATTTTGGCAGAAGAAAGACCTCTAGCTCAAGCTGAATTGGCAAGAAGAATAGTGGTCAGAGGAGAGATGTGGAAGCTTCATAGGATGGTGGAGTGGATTTGGCACCAAAAATCCAGATTGAGCTGGACTCTCAATGGGGATAAGAATACTAGGTTTTTCTATGTTTTTGCCAATGCCAGACAGAGTAAGAACATGATTAACTCTATCGAAGTTAATGGGGTATCTCATGAGGATCCTAACAGGGTTAAGTTTGAGGTCACACAACACTTCAAGAAACAGTTTGTGGAGGATTGGGTTAAAAGACCTGTCTTGGAAGGGGTTTTCAAGACCATTGGGTCAGACTATGTATCTTATCACCTTGTCTCAGAGTTCTGTGAAGCTGAGGTTTTGGCTGCAATTAAGGAATGCAATAGCAACAAAGCTCCAGGTCTTGATGGTTTTAACTTGTTGTGCTATCAGAAATTTTGGAAGGTCATGAAGCCTGAGATTATGCAATTTTTCGCGGACTTCCATTCAAATAACAAACTGACCTATGGCATCAACAGCACTTTTATTAGTCTGATTCCCAAAGTGGACAATCCCACTGGCCTGTCTGAATTCAGACCCATCAGTCTTGTAAGTTCCCTTTACAAAATTCTAGCTAAAGTACTAACACATAGATTGAAGCCAGTTCTACCCTCCATCATTGGTGAAACACAAACTGCATTCATAGGTGGGAGGAACATCCTAGATGGGATTTTCATTGCCAATGAAGTGGTTGATGGATGAAAAAAGTCCAAGAAGCTCGGTCTAATCTTAAAACTAGACTTCGAAAAAGCCTTTGATTCTGTGAACTGGGCAAGTTTATTTTCTCTTCTGTCCAATTTTGGGTTTGGGAACAAATGGATTTCCTGGATAAAAACTTGTATTACCTCAGTTAGAATCTCCATTCTTGTGAACGGTTCACCAACTACTGAATTCTCACCACAAAGAGGTCTTAAACAGGGCGACCCACTCTCACATTTTCTGTTCAATATTGTATCTAAAGGACTTAACATGCTTTTAAACAGAGTAATTAATCTTGACATACTTAGAGGAGTGCTTGTTGGGTCAAAGGATGTTCTTTTGTCTCATCTGCAATTTGCGGATGATTCAATTATTTTTTCTAAAGCAGATTGGGATCAGATGGTGCTTATTAAAAGAGTTCTAAGATGCTTCGAAGTTTTATCTGGTCTGCGAATAAATTATCACAAATGTGTGATATGTGGTGTTGGCGTGGATGATTCACTTTTGCTCTACTTTGCAAAGCTCCTCATCTGTCAAGTTCACAGCCTTCCTCTGAAATTTCTCGGTCTACATCTTGGAGCCAACCCTGGGAGAAAATCTACATGGAAACCTGTGCTTGACAAATTCAGATCCAAACTCTCAGGGTGGAAGAGAAAATTGCTGTCTTTTGCAGGCAGGTTAACACTAATTAAGTCCACATTATCTAGTTTACCAGTTTACTTTCTCTCTTTGTTTAAGATGCCAGAAGGTGTGGCCAGAGAAATTGAAAGGATTCAATCAGCTTTTTTATGGGGTGGTAACAACCTGAAAAGGAAAGTCCACTTAGTGAAATGGGGGGAGGCTACAAAAAGCATTAATCAAGGGGGTCTGGGCATTAGAAGAATAAGAGATGTAAATGTATGTCTATTGCTTAAATGGTGGTGGAAATTTGGAACTCAAATTAACTCTCTTTGGAGGAGGGCAATATGTAGCAAATACAAGATAGATGAGGCTTGTTGGAATCCACCGGTAAGTTTCTCCTACAAACATTCTAGAGTGTGGAAAGACATCTTATCTATCGGGAACCATTGCAGTAATATTTTCAATTTTTAGTTGGACAATTGTCAAATTAAAGTGGGGGATGGAAACAGAATTAAGTTTTGGCATGACAAATGGTGTGGCAACACTTGCCTTAAGAATGATTTTCCCCACCTTTTTCAATCTCTCCACTGATAAAGATGGTTCTTTTCATCAATACTTTGGTAGGAAAACCAGCCCAAATACTTGGAATTTTCCCACTAAAAGAACTATGTTTTCTTGGGAATTGGAGGAAGAAACTAGTATGATTGAAGCCCTATCGTTAGCCCCTTCTCTGTCTCCTCACAAAGCTAACTGTTATTTCTGGGCTTGTGCTACTACAAGCACTGGTGAGTTTTTTGTTTCCTCAATTTACTCTTTCAGTAATTCCACCCTTAGTCCTCATCTTCCAATTTGTAATCATATCTGGAATAGAGTTGTCCCTCCTAAGGTTTCATTTTTCTGTTGGTTGGCTTGGAAGAACATAATTAAGTCAGCAGAATTCATGCTCAGAATTGGTATTTTAGACCCTTCTGTTTCCATCAGTTGCACCTTCTGTGGCTTTGAATCTGAATCTGCTACACATGTCTTGCTTCACTGCCCCTTTTCATGGCAGATTTGGTCTTCAATTATTCATGAATGGGGGCTTTCTTGGTGCATTCAAGATTCAGTTGATGGCCTTCTCCAATGGTGGATGAGAGTAAACTTCAATCACTTTGATAGATTAATTTGGAGAGCTATCCCGCTCATTGTTCTTTGGTCGCTGTGGAAATGTAGGAACGAATGTATTTTTGAAGAGGCTTAACCAAATATTTCAGATTTGAGTGAATCTATCAAAATCAGAGCTGCACTATGGCTGAAAGCAACCATTAAGGACCTTCCCTTCTCAGTTGATGATTTAACCTTCAACTGGAGGCAAATCAAAGCTGGAAATTCAAATCATTAGATGGGCTGGTTTATTTGTTTTGTTATATTGCTCTTCTGGTGGTTGATTATCTGCTAAGGTTGGGCCATGTTTTGCTAGAGCTTCTTTTCTGCTGGGTTGGAGTTGATCTGCTGGGGTTGTTGATTTGCTGGGGTTAATCTGGCTTATCAGTTGGGGTTGTGCTGTTGGGGTTGTTGATCTGGTTGGTCTAGTTCATCAGTTGGTGATTGATATTTTGGTTTTAGCCTCAACCTGCTAGTCAGCTTTTCTGCCCTGTTCCTCTGTTCAGGATTATCAGTTGGCCAACTTTATTGTTCATTTCAGTGAAGTGGTTTTGTTCATCTCAGTGCAGTTTTGTGGTGCTAAAGTGAAGGTCAATTGTAGTTCTTTCTGGTTGAGTTCATAGTTTGCTTCATAGTCTGAGTTCTTCATCTCAGTATTTGGCTGCTAAATAGCCTGAGTTCTGTGGTGCTAAGTTCTGGTGCTGTTATGTTGCTTGGGTCCATTTTGCTATGTTGCTGCAGTGAAGTGAAGGTCTATTGATGCTGGGACTGATATGTGGTTGCTATGCACAGGTTGGTGCTAGGTAGGTCTATTTATTTCAGCCACCAGCTGAGTGGTAGTCTGAATGGAGGTCTGTTTGTTAAGCTGGATTTGAGCCAAAAGGGTGTATGCTAAACTATAAACACTCTGAAGGATCATACTGTTTTCTGGCAGCTACATTGATTTTATGGCTTTTGTTGTTATGTTGAGTTTCTAAGCTACACTGAGTTTCTAAGCTGAGGGCAATGCTCTTGGACTGCACTGATTTGAATTGGGTTCTGTCTGCTGCCCTCTGTTTTTTGTTGATTTTTTGCTGATGTGATTCAACCTCTGGGTGTTTTTGCTTATGCTTGTTGTTTTTTTCCTCTTTT